GTGTTGGCAAGCATGGCTACAATAACTATCTTTGCACCAGTAGTTTTGCCACCACCGGCACAACACATTGAAGCATCAAAACAACAATCTGTCATATGTAAAGCCGACAATCTACAGGATGAGAGTGCCATGGGCTCTCCTATCGGCGGCCACAACAGGGCAGGATGGTGTGGTGAGGCTCTTATCCCATTATACAACATCGCCTCCGCAGGCGAGAGGACGGTCTGTACACTCGAACCGCACCGAACACGCCAAGAAGTGGGTTAAGGTTTGCCGTATGCAAGGAAATCGGCATGGAACAACATGGAAAACTCGACGAATGAGAACCTACCTCGCTAGCGGTAGAGTTTTTCTCGTTATTTCACTTGATTTGTTGTTATTGTTGTAGCTCTCACTTCACACACACACACACACACAGAGAGAGAGAGAGAGAGAGGCCTATCCTATAAGCAACCCATCGTTGGGCCATGTTGGATGCGCACAAAAGACTATCTATCCAAGACCAACATGTAGGTGCAGTCCATCGACGTGTCGGTTTGTATCTACACTAGAACATATACATGGGTTGTTCTTTTTCCGGCCCAATCTACTAGAGGGAGGGAATGCATGTTGATATCTCAAAGAATAATGATTTGGGAAAGAAACGGGGAGGGAGGAAACACTTTCTTCTTCTAGTTGCGTTAACAGGCAGGTAGACAAACAACAAAGTAAGAAATAAAAATTGTGTTAATTACCTTGAGATTAAGAAGCTTCCGAGGCAAAAAAAAACTTTTCATTAATCAAACAAATTGAGTTTGAGCGAAGAATTTGAAACACAGAGAAGCAAACAAAATCTTCAACAAAACCAATCAAAATCCTTCAGAATTGCTTGTCTCCATCTCCATCTTTTGCACCTTGTCTGTTTTGAAGACAATAGTGAAAAACTCCAAAAGATCGAACTTGCACAAGTTGTAAGCTCGCCGTAGGTCAGGAAAACCCGCATGAGCTGTCCACTCCCACCTCAATAGATAATTAAGACCGATGAATGCACTTGGCTGGGGACACATACAAGGCAAGCTACCAAATCACCACCTCATGACCATTCTATCAAGGAAGACGACAATGAGCACACAAAAAGAAACAAGAGAAGCCGCTGAGCAAACCAACATTGATATCACGATTACCATCGCCATCGCCATCGCCACCGAAACTAGGGTCGGCGATTCATGGGGCGGAACACCACAAGCTTTTTTACGCCCACCTCATTAGCCACAACGGCCACACAACGTAACACGCACGCGCCTGAGTGGGGTAGTATTAGTTAGTGGAATCTCATATCCCATGCGACGTCATCTCCAACCGTCGAGAGGTTGACCAGTAAAACTTAGACCACGCTCCGGAGCCGGAGAACTTGGCTAAAGTTGCATAGTGCAAGGAAACCAAGTTGGAACAACATGGCTAAGACGACGAACGGGACCCTCGCTCAATGCGGGTTAGGGTTTTCTCTTTGTTCCTACTTCTGTTTTCTCCCCTGAGAAATTGTCACTTGATAGAAAAAAGAGTGAGGCCTATCCCATGTGCAGACCATTGTTGGGACGGGCTAGATCCACATCGAAAGCATATCTCCATCCTTTTAATTTGAGGGGCAACCTATCTCTATCGCAAAACCTATATCTCGCTTATAGCGAGTGCCTCTTTCGTAGGGCTGAAGTTGTTTCCTTGCGGTGTAGATACTGGGCCGGCCTAGTAGTTTTTTCTTGTTCGTTGGTTTTCGTTCAAGTTTGCTGGGTTATCTTCATTAGGCTTTCTCTGTTTTTTTTCTTTTTTTTTGGTTTTTCTTTGTTTCCTCACTAGTTTTATCTGTTGGTTTTTCTTTGCTTTCTTCTTCTTTTTCTCCTTTGTATGTTCTTACGTTTTTTCTTTTGTTTCTATTTCTTCACCGGTTTTCTTTTTCTTCTTCATTATGCCTTGATTTTTTTGTTGTTTTTTCATTGCTTTCTTTGGTTTATCTTTTTTCTTCTTCTTTATATATGTTGGTTTTCTTGGCTTCTTTATGGGTTCATTGCTTCTTCACCTTTCTTTTTGTTTCTTTCTAGGGTTTCACTGTTTTTTCTTCTTTTCTTTCCTATCTTTGGTTTTCATTGCTTATTTCTTGCTTTTCATAATTTTTTCTTGTTTCTTTCTTGGTTTTCACTGTTTTCCAAATACACGATGTACATTTTTTTCTTCTAATTTTGAACATTTTTTTGAATACATGGTCAAAAAAATTCAAATACACAGTGATCACTTTTTAACAGAAGTGAACATTTTTTCACACACAAATATACATTTTTCCTATGAATCAGAAACATTTTTATATACATGTTTAACATTTTTAAATACATAATTAACTTTATTTAGATATATGTTTTTTGATGTGTACTTTTATTCAATTAGTAAATGAGCACGTGCATTGCACATTCATATTAAGGAGAAAATTGACTACACGTTGATATTAGGTAGGATATCAATTATGTGTTAATTATAAGATTAATGTAGGCATTCATATTTGGTATGCTATCAATTGCACACTCAACATGTTGAGAGCTCACCATTGGAGCAATTTAGATCATTGGATTGATATGGTTTGATGGCTGAGATTAATTGGATCTGCCCTTTTGGGTCTTTTTATATTGATATAGATATAGATGTATGTTGTACATTATTCGTATACATTAGGAACATTTTTGTACAGGTTTAAGAAAACTTAAATACATGATCAACATTTTTTTCCATATACATATTATATGTTTTGTACATATTTTTCATCTACACGAGAAACATTTTTTCATGTAGATTTAACATTTTTTAAAGTGCTTGATTGGCCTTTTTCAAATACTTGAAAAACATTTCTAAAATACATGATCAACATCTCTAAGGATCTCCAGCTCTTTGAAATACATGATAAACATTTCTAAAGAACATTTCTAAAATGCTATGCGTCGGCTTCAACTCTAAGGGTCTCCAGCTCTCTGAAATATATCTGTCTATGAACATCTGAGCAACTTGTGGACTTTCAAATATTCCTTCACGGATGGCTCTTCTCCTGGATGACCAGCTAGCCCTTAACGTGGCCGCTACTCTAATGAACTGCATGTGTGGTAAGGAATCCGTCATCGAGAGTAGCTAGCGCTTTTGCGCCGGGGCCCCGTTGTGGCAGTCGGATGCTGCGCCACCTCACCATCCACAAGAGCCCAAGTACACAATGTAAAAACGACTGCCTTCATGCATGAGTGCCGTGCAACGCATAGCGTGCGCGGTCTGGAGTTTGACACATGCCGGTGAGCTATCACGTCTTCCATGGGGATAGAGCGCTTGGACGGCCGCGGCCACAAGGAACATCCTATTCTTTGCAGCAACTTGTGTGTTTCCAAAAGCACCTTCCACAGCTTCCCCTCACCGTCAGTGATTGAAGAAGCGGCGACGCCCTCTAGCCGGGCCCCAATCTCTGCTTGGTGGGCGCAGGCATCCCATACGCCGAGCAGGCATAAGACACTCCGCTTCTCTCAAAATTCCGACCCTAGAAAACCCTCCTATTGTTTTTTTTTTTGACACAAAGGAATCCTCCTATTGCTTTCCTTTTTTTACCTGCTGGGCTATCCTGTCCCTAACACACACAGGCCGAATCCAGTTCCATTGCATTGAGATTTCAAAGAAGAAGGAAGGAAGAAAGAAGGGAAGGAAAAAGAAAAGGAGGAGACGCTTTCTTCCTGTGGCTCCGCTGGCTGTCTCGTCGCGTCAGCAGGCAGGCAGGCCGACAGCAGTGTGTGTGCGCGCGAGCGAGATCCAGACTTCCAGACCGGCAGAGGGAGGGAGGGAGGACAGTCCAGAGCGGCAGCAGTTATAGCCACCGCCTCCCCCACCACCTCCCCCCTCCTCCTCCGATCGCATCTCCCCTCCTCCCGTCGCCCGCCTCGGCCTCCTCCGACCGAGCTCGCTCGCTCTCCACGGTAACCAACCTCTCTCGCTCTCGCTCCCCCTCTCTGCCGGTATCTCTCTCTTGGTAGCAGCCTTGCTAGATCTTGCTTTGCGCGCGCCTCCGGCCGGCCCGAGATCCGGCCCCGCGGCGCCGGATCTGGGCGTCCCGGGCGGAGATCCGGCGGAAACTCGGGGACTTCACTGTCTTCTTGCGTCCGGTTCTTGTCTCCGTGCGTGCGCGCGTTGGTGGACGCTGCGATCCGCCTCCGGGTTGGCGGGCTGCCGCTTCTTGACTAGAGCTCGACCAGTTCCCGCGCCCCAGCGTAGATCCGCGGCGGGTGCGTTCGTTCGTTGCTGCTCCGCGACTGCTCCCGGTTCCCGTACGCGGTTGCTCGTCCATTCCCCTGTTTGTCCCGTTGCTCCCGTGGTCGCTCGTCGGATACCATCTTGTGATTTGGGTACTCCTCATCAGGGCTATGCCAGTTTTGATAAATCTGCATGTATCCGAGAGTTATCCAGCACCTTTCTCAGTAATTTCTTGTCGGTCCATTGAGGATCCCCTGTGAGGCTGTGAGAAAAACCAGCAGAGAGGAAAGTGCAGCCAAAGTATGCTTTCAAGTATTTTCATTTCAAATTCGTCAACTTGGCCTGACCTCATGTGCTACTTACGCCATGGTCTCAGTGCTGATTGATCGCTAGGTAGCCTTTGTGTGAAATCCTAGTTTTACGCCGTGGTTCAAGTCACACCACCAACCATCACATGTTTTCTTATTATTAAAAACTAGCATTGCCTGCAAACTGTAGCTTAGCCCTCTTTGGTGCTGGAGTAGTAATAATGTGTAAAATGCATTAAAAAAGTGTCTTTCCAAGCTCTTGTCTATTTTATTTTCAGTGTCAGCTTTATAAACTTTCTGTCTTTCTTTCGTAACACTTAGCACACCTGTAGCTGTTCCATCAAAAATAAAAGTTCCAGCAAGCCATGTGTTTCTCTGTATTAGGGTGACAATATTGCTTGTCATTAATTATTTAGCATTCTTGTGCTTCTTGCAGATATTCTGTAGGAAATGGCTGACGGTGAGGACATCCAGCCCCTTGTTTGCGACAATGGAACCGGAATGGTCAAGGTCAGAAACTCTCCCCTAAACTGTTACATATGTGATATGTCATCTCCTGCATCTTTTAACATGTCATCTCCTGCATCTGTTAACACATGTCATTTTCTTGTGGTTTATTATCGTCTAGGCTGGTTTTGCTGGAGATGATGCACCAAGGGCTGTTTTCCCTAGCATAGTTGGTCGCCCTCGGCACACTGGTGTTATGGTAGGGATGGGGCAGAAGGATGCCTATGTTGGTGATGAGGCGCAGTCCAAGAGAGGTATCCTCACACTCAAGTACCCGATCGAGCACGGCATCGTAAGCAACTGGGATGACATGGAGAAAATCTGGCATCACACCTTTTACAATGAGCTCCGTGTGGCACCCGAGGAGCACCCTGTGTTGCTCACTGAGGCTCCTTTGAACCCAAAAGCCAACAGAGAGAAGATGACCCAGATTATGTTTGAGACTTTCAATGTTCCTGCCATGTACGTCGCAATTCAGGCCGTGCTTTCCCTCTATGCAAGTGGTCGTACTACTGGTATGGACTGTTTCCAACTTTTATAGTTCAGTGATGCTTTGCACAGTAATTTGCCTTTATGATTCTGTTACATTATGCTGCACCCTTCTGATTAATTGAATTATTTTGAACCTTCAATTGTTCAGCCATGATTATGCTTACTGTGGCTTGCATAATTTTGATATACTGCAGTATTGATTGCTTCTTATTTCTTACTGCTCTATTGCATTAGGGAAAACAATTGCAAGTAGTATATCGAGAAGTATAATGTAGAGGATTACTTTGTTGTGGCTGAAAATTTTCTCTGTTTGCAGGTATCGTTCTCGACTCTGGTGATGGTGTCAGCCACACCGTGCCCATTTACGAAGGATACGCGCTTCCTCATGCCATTCTTCGTTTGGATCTCGCTGGTCGGGATCTCACGGACTCCCTCATGAAGATCCTCACCGAGAGAGGTTACTCCTTCACAACCTCAGCCGAGCGGGAAATTGTAAGGGACATCAAGGAGAAGCTTGCGTATGTTGCCCTTGATTATGAACAGGAGCTGGAGACTGCCAAGAACAGCTCCTCAGTTGAGAAGAGCTACGAGCTTCCTGATGGTCAGGTCATCACGATTGGCGCAGAGAGGTTCAGGTGCCCTGAGGTCCTCTTCCAGCCATCCATGATCGGCATGGAGTCTTCTGGAATCCATGAGACGACCTACAACTCCATCATGAAGTGTGACGTGGATATCAGGAAGGACCTGTACGGCAACATTGTGCTCAGTGGTGGCACAACTATGTTCCCAGGTATCGCTGACCGTATGAGCAAGGAGATCACCGCGCTTGCTCCGAGCAGCATGAAGATCAAGGTTGTCGCCCCACCTGAGAGGAAGTACAGTGTCTGGATCGGAGGGTCCATCCTAGCCTCACTCAGCACTTTCCAACAGGTACGTTTCTTGTTCAGCCCTACCTTCTATAACCCATCTGAACTGGAACCAACATCTGAAATATGTTCTATTTGGCTATGTTTGTACCAGATGTGGATATCCAAGGATGAGTACGACGAGTCTGGCCCGGCTATCGTCCACAGGAAGTGCTTCTGATCTCCGGGAGCGCTCCGCCTCCGCCGCCGTTATCATCTAGTCTCGGGTTATGTTTGGTTCATTCTTCTAGAAATGTATTGCGTATTTGCAAGCTATGTTTTTTTCCAGACGTGACGTGAGTACTCTTGGGATATGCTACCTATATACGTGGCGGCTCCATGGTGCAAGTGCAAGTACACTATATCTATGTTTGTGTATTGTCACAGTGTGTTTGTGAGATCAGTTGTCAAACTTGGGTTGGCTTGATTTGTTGTTGGAGTTGTCTGTAATAGCTCATGGTTTTTGCTATGTATTTTTTTATCTTATTATTATTGCTCTTAAGGGAAGAATCATGGTATATTATGGATTTTTTTAAAGATCTCAAAGTGTTATACAGTGGTCATCCATGGACCATTTTCCATGTGATCATCAACCGTTCATCACTGGTTCATAAGGCCTTTAATCTGAAAGTGCTTCAATTACTTTGATGTTCAGGTTCAGCTGCCTGATGCTACGGACAAAGTGAAAAGCAAATATTACTCCCTCTGTACCTAAATATAAGTCTTTTTTAGAGATTTCAATATAGACTACATAAAGATGTATATAGACATATTCTAAAGTGTACATTCATTTGCTCCGTATGTAGTTCATATTGGAATCTCTAAAAAGACTTATATTTAGGGATGGATGGAGTATTTGAATAGTAAGCCAAAAGCAGGACATGTGCATTACAAATGTACTTCATCAAAGAATTACATGTTATGGACGAAAAACATTGCCTTTATTAGGAACATCATGCATTAGCTGATGCTTTGAAATGATTTGAGTTCTGGTTCAAATTTGTATATGTTACATGAATGCTCCCTAGTTCAAAGCAACAAACCTTCCACTATGTGTGCGTTTATCTCATTTCCTATTCTTCTGCTAGGGGCTCATCTTCAAACCCCTGATGAATCTGAGCACCAAATACTTGTTCCGTTGGTTTTGAAACCCTAGTTTCATCGACGCTGCCTAGTTCCCGGAAAGGAAAATTCCCCTTTATTCCTGCATGCTTGTCAAGAATCAGACCGGCGGCTACTTAGCTACTCCGTTTGAAAGCACCAGACAAGGCGTTGTACGCTTCGACGCAGCGCCTGAACTTATCCTCTGCTTCAGCCTGAAAAATGCACACTTTTTTTGAGAATCAACACCCCTACACAGGTTCTAGCTCAGCATTCGCACCCAGTGCGCCAGAGGTTGCAAAGAAAGCCACTACTGACCTGTGAAGATCCTTGGTGCTTGTCCGGGTGCCACTTGAGAGCTGACGCGCGAAAACTGCAAACATAACACCGAGAAAGAAAAGACAATCAGGAGCCTGATTACCAGAATTCTTGCAAATGCTATGTAGATGCTCAAAGACTTACGCGGACTTGATATGATCAAGCTTTAAGGGACCCAAAACTGGCAAGCCAAGGGATATTCTATGGCTTTTTAGATCGTCACGACGAGGGGCCTCTTCCTCATCCACATCACTCTCGTTCCAAACTTTTTCCCTTGATTTGTTCGGTCGAGGCTCCTCCCTCCATTGGAACCCATTAGGAAGGTCATCATCATCCTCCTCCCCGGGCCAGTACCACGTAAAAGATGTCTTGCCGCCAAAGCTCCCGTAAGGGCTATCACTAGAATCATCACCATCAAAGTTCCTCCAGTCTATCCCACCTATAGAAAACATCATGGTGCACTTGTTATCGTCCACCAAATATACTGAAAACGGTCGTAAAGCAAATGGTGTGTACACATTTAAAGGTATATAAGTTATGGTCCAAAAAGAGTTACAGACTGAACATGCTAGGATTAGGAATATTAAATAGTTCATGTGCATCAAAGTAAATGCTACTCTCTCTGTACCACAATACTTGTCGCTGGGGGAAACTTTGCTGGGGGAACTTGTACCGGTTTCCCCCAGCGACAAGTATTGTGGTACAGAGGGAGTATGATACAACAAATTGAAGCTTATGACAGGATGGCCTTAGCAAGTCAAACACACCGCAGAAAATCACAATCTGGCTAAGAGTTGAAAAATGAATTTCAGAAGAGACCAATGGACAGTACCAATGGTCCAATCTGTCACACACTACCAATGGACACTTCAAGAAGTTTAGTGGCAGGCTCATATTTGTGATTTTCACATGCTTTTAGGAAACAGAAGATGCAAACTGGTCTTCAGTGAAAACAAGCAATTGGAAGGTAAAGGGCTCGAGAGTAAACCTACCTCTGCCTTTGCTATACGGATTACTTCCAGGACCGGAGCGGACTTTCGATTTGCCACCAGCTTTCTGCTGCCTCGTTTGCTTATTACATCTTTCCTGTTGACAATTTTCAGACCAGTTTCAAAGTCTAATCCATTACTATTGTTTTTTACAAGGAAGGCAACGCTTTCAAAGAAATTAAACAAAAGAAGCGGTGACTTTGAGTTTTCTAGGCATTGTCGCGCGTCTGATTTTCCCATTCGCTCAGTGAAACAATGAACTAACATGTCACCAGTCATCACAGTTAAAGAGACCCTCATAGTTTGGTATATAAGATTGGATGTTATATTTTTTTCCCCAGGTAGATAAATCAGTATGGCGCTGTCATTCGCATACGAGCTCATAATTCAGGAAGTAATTTTCTTTTTTTCATAGGAAAATGGTTACAGATACCTGGGAGGGACCGCCGTTAAGTAGAACGTTCTTGAGGGCATTCTTCGCGTCGGTGCGCTTTTCCCGGACGTTGAACCGGATACGAGGCTGCACAAGAATAATTACAGGACCGTCGTCAAGCTCGCATCACAAATAACTGAATACGCGCCAGATGCTACTGTACTTGGCAAGTACGTACTATGTAGTGCCCGGGGGATTACGGAAATTAAGAAACTGAGCTAGACCTGAAATGTGTAAGTGGATCTGAAAAAAATGCACAGCGCAATAGAGCTTCCATTGCTACAAACTATACACCCTAAGCTCACTGTGAGGATGATCCTGCGCAGTAAATATTCCTCTTTTACAGGAGGCAATCCTATCTAGCAATCCTAATGGGATTTCGAATCAGGAGGCAAGAACTGAACGGGATGCGTGGATCGAATTGATTCGTCATCAGACAAAAGGAAAGTGGGAGGAAGAGATGGATGGGGTTAGTCAGGGTGGGCGCACCGTGGATTTGGAGAGCGCCGCGGCGGTGGAGTGGAAGGACGCCGACGCCGACGCGGCGGCCGCCGCCGCCACGCCCCTCCGCGCAGCTGCTTGCATCCCGGGAGAAGAGGACGGGAGAGTGTGGGGGATTTGGCGGCGGCGACGGTGGACCAGGTGAGTTAGGGAAATGGGTAGGGTGAGCCGACAGGATTCCGTCGGCGTCGCCGGAGATGGTTCGCCGGGAGAGGTAGATCAAGGCGGCGCCGTGCTCTGCGCTGAGGGGATTGGTTGTGGGCGCTCGAGCCTGGGCCTCTCTGTCGGGTGGGCCTACTGCAGTGTATAGATTGCACACCACATGCAAAGTTTTTTTCTTTTTTTTTTTCATTTTTCTCCACGGCACAGCTCAAACCCCCAAGAAAAAGGGGTTCCCTCAAAGTCGCCGGATGCCTCCGGTGACGTTAAGAACATCTCTTCTCCTTCGTTTCTCCGGTCAGGTTTTGCCCCGCGCTAGGCGAGGATCGGGACACAAGGATGCAAGGGTTTTTGCTCCCCTATGTTTGGGAGGTGGCGTACAGAGGAGAGAGCTCGGCTGTTGGAGCCAAGGGGAAGGGGAATCTTGAGGATATGATGCGAGAGCTGGCCCTAGATCTCGCTTGGCGGCGGCGTGGGGGTGTTGGAAATATGCCCTAGAGGCAATAATAAAAGCATTATTATTATATTTCCTTGTTCATGATGATTGTCTTTATTCATGCTATAATTGTGTTATCCGGAAATCGTAATACATGTGTGAATAACAGACACCAACATGTCCCTAGTAAGCCTCTAGTTGACTAGCTCGTTGATCAACAGATAGTCATGGTTTCCTGACTATGGACATTGGATGTCATTGATAACGAGATCACATCATTAGGAGAATGATGTGATGGACAAGACCCAATCCTAAACATAGCACAAGATGTATAGTTCGTTTGCTAGAGTTTTTCCAATGTCAAGTATCTTTTCCTTAGACCATGAGATCGTGTAACTCCCGGATACCGTAGGAGTGCTTTGGGTGTACCAAACGTCACAACATAACTGGGTGACTATAAAGGTATACTACGGGTATCTCCGAAAGTGTCTGTTGGGTTGACACGGATCAAGACTGGGATTTGTCACTCCGTATGACGGGGAGGTATCACTGGGCCCACTCGGTAATGCATCATCATTATGAGCTCAAAGTGACCAAGTGTTTGGTCACGGGATCATGCATTACGGTACGAGTAAAGTGACTTGCCGGTAACGAGATTGAACAAGGTATTGGGATACCGACGATCGAATCTCGGGCAAGTAACATACCGATTGACAAAGGGAATTGAATACGGGGTTGCTTGAATCCTCGACATCGTGGTTCATCCGATGAGATCATCGAGGAGCATGTGGGAGCCAACATGGGTATCCAGATCCCGCTGTTGGTTATTGACCGGAGAGTCGTCTCGGTCATGTCTGCATGTCTCCCGAACCCGTAGGGTCTACACACTTAAGGTTCGGTGACGCTAGGGTTGTGAAGATATGTATATGCAGTAACCCGAATGTTGTTCGGAGTCCCGGATGAGATCCCGAACGTCACGAGGAGTTCCGGAATAGTCCGGAGGTAAAGAATTATATATATAGGAAGTGCTGTTTCGGCCATCGGGACAAGTTTCAGGGTCGCCGGTATTGTACCGGGACCACCGGGTGGGGCCACCCATCCCGGAGGGCCCCATGGGCCAAAGTGGGGAGGGGAACCAGCCCATAGTGGGCTGGTGCGCCCCCTAGGCCCACCCCATGCGCCTAGGGTTGAAACCCTAGGGGTGGGGGGCGCCCCACCTTGCCTTGGGGGCCACTCCAGCCCTGGCCGCCGCCCCCCCCTAGGAGATCCCATCTCCTAGGGCCGGCGCCCCCCCTAGGGGAGCCTATATATATGAGGGGAGGGAGGGGGCAGCCACACCTTGAGTCTTGGCGCCTCCCTCTCCCCTGCTACACCTCTCTCTCTCTCTTGTAGTATAAGGCGAAGCCCTGCTACTGTGACGCCCTGCATCCACCACCACGCCGTCGTGCTGCTGGATCTTCATCAACCTCTCCTTCCCCCTTGCTGGATCAAGAAGGAGGAGACATCAAGCTGACCGTACGTGTGTTGAACGCGGAGGTGCCGTCCGTTCGGCGCTAGGATCTCCGGTGATTTGGATCACGTCGTGTACGACTACCTCATCCCCGTTCTTTGAACGCTTTCGCTCGCGATCTACAAAGGTATGTAGATGCATCCAATCACTCGTTGCTAGATGAACTCATAGATGGATCTTGGTGAAACCGTAGGAAAAATTTTGTTTTCCACAACGTTCCCCAACAGTGGCATCATGAGCTAGGTCTATGCGTAGTTCTTCTTGCGCGAGTAGAACACAATTTGTTGTGGACGTAGATGTTGTCAACTTTCTTGCCGCTACTAGTCTTATCTTGCTTCAACGGTATTGTGGGATAAAGCGGCCCGGACCAACCTTACACGTACGCTTACGTGAGACCGGTTGCACCGACTGACATGCACTAGATGCATAAGGTGGCTGGCGGGTGTCTGTCTCTCCCACTTTAGTTGAAGCGGATTCGATGAAAAGGGTCCTTATGAAGGGTAAATAGAAGTTGACAAATCACGTTGTGGCTTTCACGTAGGTAAGAAAACGTTTTTGCTAGAACCTATTTCAGCCACGTAAAACTTGCAACAACAATTAGAGGACGTCTAACTTGTTTTTGCAGCAAGTGATTTGTGATATGATATGGCCAAAGTTGTGATGAATGATGAATGATATATATATGATGTATGAGATGTTCATGCTATTGTAATAGGAATCACGACTTGCATGTCGATGAGTATGACAACCGGCAGGAGCCATAGGAGTTGTCTTTATTTTTTGTATGACCTGCGTGTCATTGAGAAACGCCATGTAAATTACTTTACTTTATTGCTAAACGCGTTAGCCATAGTAGTAGAAGTAATAGTTGGCAAGCAACTTCATGGAGACACGATGATGGAGATCATGGTGTCAAGCCGGTGACAAGATGATCATGGAGCCCCAAGATGGAGATCAAAGGAGCTATGTGATATTGGCCATATCATGTCACTATTATTATTTGATTGCATGTGATGTTTATCATGTTTTGCATCTTGTTTACTTAGAACGACGATAGTAAATAAGATGATCCCTCATAATAATTTCAAGAAAGTGTTCCCCCTAACTGTGCACCGTTGCGACAGTTCGTTGTTTTGAAGCACCACGTGATGATCGGGTGTGATAAATTCTAACGTTCACATACAACGGGTGTAAGACAGATTTACACATGCAAACACTTAGGTTGACTTGACGAGCCTAGCATGTACAGACATGGCCTCGGAACACAGAAGACCGAAAGGTCGAGCATGAGTCGTATAGAAGATACGATCAACATGAAGATGTTCACCGATGTTGACTAGTCCGTCTCACGTGATGATCAGACACGGCCTAGTTGACTCGGATCATGTTATACTTAGATGACTAGAAGAGGGATGTCTATCTAAGTGGGAGTTCATTAAATAATTTGATTAGATGAACTTAATTATCATGAACTTAGTCTAAAAATCTTTGCAATATGTCTTGTAGATCAAATGGCCAACGTTGTCCTCAACTTCAACGCGTTCCTAGAGAAAACCAAGCTGAAAGACGATGGTAGCAACTATACGGACTGGGTCCGGAACCTGAGGATCATCCTCATAGCTGCCAAGAAAGAATATGTCCTACTAGCACCGCTAGGTGACCCACCCGTCCCACAGAACCAAGACGTTATGAACGCTTGGCAGACACGTGCTGATGACTACTCCCTCGTTCGGTGCGGCATGCTTTACAGCTTAGAGCCGGGGCTCCAAAAGAGTTTTGAGAGACATGGAACATATGAGATGTTCGAAGAGCTGAAAATGGTTTTCCAAGCTCATGCCCGGGTCGAGAGATATGAAGTCTCCGACAAATTCTTCAGCTGTAAGATGGAGGAAAATAGTTCTGTCAGTGAGCACATACTCATTATGTCTGGGTTACATAACCGCTTGACTCAGCTGGGAGTTAATCTCCCGGATGACGCGGTCATTGACAGAATCCTTCTGTCGCTTCCACCGAGCTACAAGAGCTTTGTGATGAACTTCAAGAAGGACGGCAAGGGAGTTGTCGCGCCCGGCAAGCAAGCTGCCGGGAAGAAGCCAAAGAATGGACCCAAGCCCGAGACTGAGTGCTTTTATTGCAAGGGAAGTGGTCACTAGAAGCGGAACTGCCCCAAATACTTAGCGGACAAGAAGGCCGGCAAAACAAAAGGTATATGTGATATACATGTAATTGATGTGTACCTTACCAGTACTCGTAGTAGCTCCTGGGTATTTGATACCAGTGCAGTTGCTCACATTTGTAACTCAAAGCAGGAGCTGCGGAATAAGCGGAGACTGGCGAAGGACGAGGTGACGATGCGCGTCGGGAATGGTTCCAAGGTCGATGTGATCGCCGTCGGCACGCTACCTCTACATTTACCTACGGGATTAGTTTTAAACCTCAATAATTGTTATTTAGTGCCAACTTTGAGCATGAACATTGTATCGGGATCTCGTTTAATTCGAGATGACTACTCATTTAAATCTGAGAATAATGGTTGTTCTATTTATATGAGAGATATGTTTTATGGTCATGCTCCGATGGTGAATGGTTTATTCTTAATGAATCTCGAGCGTAATGCTACACATGTTCATAGTGTGAATGCCAAGAGATGTAAGGTTGATAATGATAGTCCCACATACTTGTGGCACTGCCGCCTTGGTCACATAGGTGTCAAACGCATGAAGAAGCTCCTGAAGGAAATATGCCCTAGAGGCAATAATAAAGTTATTATTTATTTCCTTATTTCATGATAAATGTTTATTATTCATGCTAGAATTGTATTAACCGGAAACATAATACATGTGTGAATACATAGACAAACAGAGTGTCACTAGTATGCCTCTACTTGACTAGCTCGTTAATCAAAGATGGTTATGTTTCCTAACCATAGACAAAGGAGTTGTTATTTGATTAACGGGATCACATCATTAGTTGAATGAT